TTCCCATCACTCCCCCGCTCCTCCTTGTGTGGGAGCACAGCAGTGGGGATCCTCTTCTACGTGGAGCCGAGTACTGAGGGGATTCTGGGGAAATCTTTATTATACCAAAGGGGCTGCTTCCTGGCAAGAACAGGTCCTCCTCTAAAGAAATACCAGCTCAAGCCAAGAGTCTCATGTACCCATGTCGGGTAAGAAAGTGTGCTGTCTTTAGAAAAGAAAGTCCTGTGCAAACTGGGCTGCCCACCTGGAAGTGCAGCCCTGCTCTGTGCCCAGGGTCAAGTTCGGGGGGGGGGGGGGGGGGGGGGGGGACGACAAGTCAAGATTGGCTGTTTCTGGGAATATGATGGGAAAGCAACGGTAATGGGGATGCCCCACCTAGTGGCCAGAGCTGGAATTGCTACTCAACCAGACCAACACACCTGCACAGACAAGATTCTTTTTTTTTTTTTTTTCCCGTTCCCCGGGCCCTCACTTTTTTTGGCTCTCCCGTTGCAGAGCACAGGTTCCAGACGCACAGGCTCAGCAGCCACGGCTCACGGGCCCAGCCGCTCCGCGGCATCTTCCTGGACCGGGGCACGAACCCGTGTCCCCTGCATCAGCAGGTGGACTCTCAACCGCTGCACCACCAGGGAAGCCCCAGACAAGATTCTTGATTCCTAAAGGGCAAGTTATTGCACCAAATAATTCAGTTCCCTTTTCAGGTAAACTGTAATTCATTCTGGTGAAGAAACATGTTTTTGTCACCTGAGATTTATGGAGATATTCTCAAAAAATATTTTATAGCTAAAGATCTGATAGTCTGGTTAAGTCTGGGGGCTACTGACACAGATGTTTAAAAAGTAACACTCAGATACCCAATTTAAATGGAAAAATGCTAAAAATTTGTAAATGTTTCTAGGGAAATTGTTATTAAAACTCAAAAAGACCTACAAATCCAAAACAATTAATAAAATGAAAATAACATACATATCAATAATAACCTTAAACGTAAAGGGACTAAATGTTCCAACCAAAAGAAACAGACTGAATGGATACAGAAACAAGACCTGTGTGTATGCTGTCTACAAGAGACCCACTTCAGACCTAGAGACACATACAACTGAAAGTGAGGGGATGGAAAAAGGTATTCCATGCAAATGGAAATCACAAGAATGCTGGAGTAGCAATACTCATATCAGACAAAATAAACTTTAAAATACTGTTACAAGAGACAAGGAAGGACACTACATAATGATCAAGGGATCAATCCAAAAAGAAGATATAACAATTGTAAGTACATATACAACCAACACAGGAGCACCTCAATAAAGCAAATGCTAACAGCCATGAAGGGAGAAACTGACAGTAACATAATAATAGTGGGAGACTTTAACACCCCACTTTCATCAATGGACAGAAAATCAATAAGGAAACACAGGCCTTAAATGACACATTAGACCAGATGGACTTAACTGATATTTATAGAGCACTCCACCAAAAACCAAGAGAATACACATTCTTTTCAACTGCACACGGAACATTCTCCAGGACAGATCACATACTGAGTCACAAAGCAAGCCTCGGTAAATTCAAGAAAATTGAATATCAACCATCTTTTCTGACCACAATGCTACAAGGCTAGATAGAACTCAACCACAAGAAAAAACTTGCAAAAAACATAAACACATGGAGGCTAAACAATATGCTACTAAACAACCAGTGGATCACTGAAGAAATCAAAGAGGAAATCAAAAAACACCTAGAGGCACACAAAAACGAAACCACAATAATCCAAAACCTATGAGACACAGCAAAAGCAGTTCTAACAGGGAAGTTTATAGTGTTACAAGCTTATCTCAGGAAACAAGAAAAATCTCAAGTAAATAACCTAACCTTACACCCAAAGCAACTGGAGAAAGAAAAACAAAACCCAAACTTAGTAAAAGAAATCATAAAGATCAGAGCAGAAATAAATGAAATACAAATTTAAAAAAAAAAGATCAACAAAACTAAAAGCTGCTTCTTTGAAAAGAGAAAATTGATGAACCTTTAGCTAGACTCATCAAGAAAAAAGGGAGAGGGCCCACATTAATAAAATCAAAAACAAAAAAGGAGAAAAGTTACAACTGACACCACAGAAATACAAACGATCATGAGAGACTACTACAAACAACTATACGTCAATAAAATGGACAACCTAGAAGAAATGAGCAAATTCTTAGAAAGGTACAACCTCCCAAGACTGAACCAGGAAGAAATAGAAAATATGAACGGCCCAATCACGAGTACTGAAATTGAATCTGTGATTTAAAAACTCCCAACAAACAGAAGTCCAGGACTAGATGGCTTCACAGGTGAATTATACCAAACATTTAGAGAAGAGTTAACACCTATCTTTCTGAAACTATTCCAAAAAATTGCAGAGGAAGGAACACAGCCAAACACATTATATGAGGCCAACATCACCCTGATACCAAAACCAAAGATACTACACACACAAAAAAAATTACAGGCCGGTATCACTGATGAACATAGATGCAAAAATCCTCAACAAAATACTAGCAAAAAGAATTCAACAACATATTAAAAAGCATGATACAAGTGGGATTCATCCCTCAGATGCAAAGATTTTTCAATACCTACAAATCAGTCAACGTGATACACCCTATTAACAAACTGAAGAATAAAAAACATGATCTCAATAGATGCAAAAAAGCTTTTGACAAAATTCAACATCCATTTATTATGATAACTCTCCAGAAAGTGGGCATAGAGGGAACATACCTCAACATAATAAAGGCCATATATGACAAACATACAGCTAACATCATTCTCAATGGTGAAAAACTGAAAGCATTCCCTCTAAGATCAGGAACAAGACTAGGATGTCCACTCTCACTACTTTTATTCAACACAGTTTTGGAAGTTCTCACCACAGTAATCAGAGAAGAAGAAATAAAAGGAATCCAAATCAGAAAAGAAGGAAAACTGTCACTGTTTGCAAATGACATGATCTATATACAGAAAATTCTAAAGATGCTACCAGAAAACTACTATAGCTCATCAATAAGTTTGGTAAAGATGCAGGATACAAAATTAATACACAGAAATCTGTTGCATTTCCATACACTAACAATGAAATATCAGAAAGAGAAATTCAGCAAACAATCCCACTTATCATCACATCAAAAAGAATAAAATACCTAGGAATAAACCTACCTAAGGAGGCAAAAGACCCATACTCTGAAAACTGTAAGATGCTGATGAAAGAAATGGAAGACCACACAAACAGATGAAAAGATATACCATGTTCTTGGATTAGAAGAATCAATACTGTCGAAATGACTATACTACCCAAGGCAATCTATACATTCAACGAAATCCCTATCAAATCACCAATGGCATTTTTCACAGAACTAGAACAAGTAGCCAAAACAATCTTAAGAAAGAAGAATGGAGCTGGAGGAATCACGCTCCCTGACTTGCTACAAAGCTACAGTCATTAAAACAGTATGGTACTGAACACAAAAACAGACACATAGATCAATGGAACAGGATAGAGAGCCCAGAAATAAACCCCTGCACTTATGGTCAGTTAATCTACAACAAAGGAGGCAAAAATATACAATGGAAAAAAAAGACAGTCTCTTCAATAAGTGGTCCTGGGAAAACTAGACAGCTACATGTAAAAGAATGAAATCAGAACATTCTCCAAAACCATATACAAAAAATAAACTCAAAATGGATTAAAGACCTAAATGAACTATAAAACTCCTAGAGGAAAACATAGGCAGAACACTCTTTGACATAAATTGTAGCAATATTTTTTTGGAATTACTCCTAAAGTAATGGAAGCAAAAGCAAAAATAAACAAAAGGGACCTAATTAAACTTAAAAGCTTTTGCACAGCAAAGGGAACCATAAACAAAATCAAAAGGCAACCTATGGACTGGGAGAAAATATTTGTAAAGGATGCAACCAACAAGGTATATATTTTCCACAATATACAAACAGCTTATACAGTTCAATGTCAAAAAGTCAAACAACCCAATCAAAAAAATAGGCAGAAGTCCTAAATGGTCATTTCTCCAAAGAAGACATACAGATGGCCAACAGGCACATAAAAAGATTCTCAACATCACTAATTATTAGAGAAATGCAAATGAAAACTACAATGACGTATCACCTCACACCGGTCAAAATGGCTATCATCAAAAAGTCTACAAATAATAAATGCTGGAGAGGGTGTGGAGAAAAGAGAACCCTCTTGCACTGTTGGTGGGGATATAAATTGGTGCAGCCACTATGGAGAACAGTATGGAGCATCCTTAAAAAACTAAAAAGAGTTACCATATGATCCAGCAATCTCACTCCTGGGCATATAACCAGAAAAGATTAAAACCCTGATTCGGAAAGATACATGTACCCCAATGTCCACAGCAGCACTATATACAATAGCCAAGTTCATAGCAGCACTATTTACAATAGCTAAGTGTCCATTGATGGAGGAAGGGATAAAGAAGATGTGGTACATATATACAATGGAATATTACTCAGCCATAAAAAAGAATGAAATAATGCCATTTGCAGCCACATGGATTGACCTAGAGATTATCATTCTAAGTGAAGTCAGTGAAAGACAAAAATCATACAATATCACTTATATGTGGAATCTAAAAAAAACATACAAACGAACTTATTTACAAAACAGAAATAGACTCACAGACATAGAAAACAAACTTATGGTTACCAAAGCAGAAAGGTGGGGAGAGATAAATTGGGAATTTGGAATTAACATATACACACTACTATATATAAAATAGATAACCAACAAGGACCTACTGTACAGCACAGCGAACTATATTCAACATCTTGTAACCTACAATGGAAAAGAATCTGAAAAAATACACATAATGTATATATATATACACATATAAACATAACTGAATCAGTCTGAAATACTGTAAATCAACTATACTTGAATAAAAAAAGTTAATTAAAAAAAATTTTGGATTAATAAATGTTTTTATTTCCAAGAAAGGGTCTACAACAGATCTTACAAAGACTCAAAACCATTTATCACACCAACACATTTTTTTAACACTTCCAGTGTGTTAATGAGCCAGCCAATTATGAATATATCTATTAGAATGGAGTAATGCCCTGAAAAATAAATATTATACTTCTTAATAATAAAAGTTGCTAGGATTATTCAAGATTATTTTTAATATAAAAAACATAACAGGAAGAAGTCTGCAAAATTTTTTAAGTAACTTGTAGTTTTATTAATTCTCCAGTAGTCTTGCAACATTTTATATTACTAACAAAATTCCAATCACAGGAACCAGACACAAAATTTCTGCAGTTTACTTCAAACAGTCATATATGAAGACCAGACTCCATAGACATTACACTGCAAAGCTCAGAGATGACTGAAAATTTAGGTAGATAATCTTATTTAGCTAAAGAATAAAAACATTCCCCACTTTCTGCAATTATAGTTGAAAAGCTCTTTACAGCAGATGACACTCAGGCTGGAGATACATGTGGCACAGTTTGAGGTAAGCAATATAAAACTCAAGTCTACGAATTGAACAGATTTTCAGTTGCTGCACAGGTTGTTCTTCTAGTTTAAGTAAGTTTAAATTTTTTCACGGAAAAAAAATAGGCTTCAGGCAAATAAAAACAAATTCCAGATAAACACAGTTCAGTGTTTTTTATTTTACCTTCATCAAGGCAGGCAAAGTACAGATGCTGTACATTAAAAACATACACATACACCATTCACAGCACATGGACTCCTACAGGGAAGAGGCCGTTTTCTAAGCACTGCTGCCCTCTGAAGCGCGCAACTGCAGCTAAATGTACAAAGAGCCATCTGCTGGTCCCACGTAGCCAACTCCAATGAGCAGGACGTCGAGCAGCGTCCATATTCCCAGGCCCCCAAAGCTGAAGAGCTTGCCGAGGCCTTCTCGCCACTGGCCCAGGTAGAAGCGGTCCGCTCCAAACCCACCAAGGGTGATGCTGCAACAGCAAACAGGCCTGGAGTCCATCAACGGCCCCCCGACTGCGCCTGCATTACTGCGCCTCAGTAACCGCTAACTCACATGTGGGAAAGGGCCTCAAATCGCCAGATCCCTTTATCAGGACACAGTGACTATCTCACAAATGTACAACACTAAACAATCATGGGCAACAAGACCGTTTAATTGTCAAAAGTAAACACTTTTTAGCTGTAATGAAATCTAATGGTTCTCTTTTCAAGAAAATCGAGCTTGTTGCTTTTTTAACCTTGAAATGGCACATCCAGGAGAACAAAGTGGGGCTAGTCCTACAGACAGTGCAGGAACATGGTGGTCGAAGGTGGCATCGCCAGGCAGCCAACACCACATGGCCGCCCAGATCAAGTCGTGAACATTGTCAGTCACCCATCTTTAAAAATTTCATGTTCAGAATAAATGACTTTTAAGGTTCCTTCAAATTCTAAGATCTAACAATATTCGGACAGCTTCTCATTGTATTTCTTTTAAAGCTTTTATTATGAAAAATTCCAAACATATAAAAGTAAAAAGAAGAGAACAGCACCCATGACCCAGCTCCAATAGTTATCAACATGTGTCCATCCCTGGTTCATCTACACCCTTCCAATCCCCCACCCCGAGTATCAAGAAGCAAACACCAGGCGTTATCACATTCACCGTGAATATTCTCAAAGAAACCATGCTGAGCCCAGAGAAGAAAATTATTCTTATTTTTAAAAAATCAGCTATTAAATGTGCCACAGTAATTTAAGATGTCAACAATGTGGAGGAAGCTGGGTGAAGGGTGTACAGGAAGTCTCTAGCTTTGCAACTTTTTTTTAAATCTAAAATTATTCCAAAATAAAAAGTTTATTGAAAAGCAGAAAGTCAGCTGTTAGTCTGAATGTGAACCACTGCTGACAAAGACGCTGGGTGTCACCAAATCTCACTGTCGTTGCATCTAATTTTCTATCGTGGACCTATCTTTCACTTTCCAGCTGTGCTTTCCTGCCAGCAGGATCCTCCTCTTCCCCAGCCCAAACCCTGACGCAGTGGTTCCTGACAAGGGGCCACCTGGCCACCCCTGGAGGCATTTTTGATTCTCACAGCTTCAGTGGGGGTTGGGGAGACTGCTAACGCGCAGTAAATGGAGTCCAGAGATGCTGCTGAACATCCTGCTCTGCAGAGGACGCCCCACAGCAGAGAATTCGTGGCCCAAATGTCAACAATGACAAGGCAGAGAAGCCCTGCCCGCGTCTCACCACAGGCCACAGGCCACCTCAGGCTCTTACCCTAAACCTCCAACAGCAGATGCCTACCTTCCTAATCAGAGAATCATTTAACCAGCACCCCACCTGCCCTTCCCTCCGGTGGGAAGAACTGGTACAATTTTCTTTTCAAACTGTTGAAAAGTTTAACTAATACAAGCAAATTTTTATGTAAAAATTGTAAGTCTATAAGTATGTTTGAATGGTGGAATTATAAGTGATTTTCAACGTTTCTCTTTGTCATTTTCATTTTTTTCCAGTTTTCAGTACTGAGCATGTATTATTTTTTGTAATAAAAAAAATTACTGAAAATTAAAGATATACATCATAAACCTACCGACTTTAATTAGTATATGGCATTTTACTAATTCAGGGTACACTCAGGATGGGAAGCACTGACTGGTTCTAATGATCTCTAGTAATGACTACAGTCACCTCTAGAATGTGCAGGCCATCTCGGGAGGAAAACCAGCAACGGGCCATTAAATTCCACGAGGGTACTGGTCTGACCACCTAAATAACCTCCCACAGTGCTGTCCCTATGGTCTACCTAACACACGGCAGGATCTGAGTGGATGGAGGAGGAGCTTGGAAGAGCCCACCAACCCCAACGAAATCCAAATGGCATCCGACTTACTAGAAACAGAGCTTACCTCAGAGCCAGAGCAGTAGACCACTTATAACCGCCAGTCCAGTTGCAGTACAGCATTTTTGGGAAAGTACGGTTACCTTAAAAAAGGGAAAACACTCCACATAAAAACACGGGTAACACAGAGACTAAATTATAACTAGGGGCCTTGTGATTTACAATGTAAAAAGCCAACTTTCTTTACAAAAGTAAATGTTCACTACAATGAATGGTAAAAAGAAAGCCCTGACTGTCTATGAGCACAGACTCGACATTTAAATCAGTTTTGTGAGGATCACAGCTTGAAGAAGGTAAAACACCCCACCTGCTGTGAAAACGTGGGTAACGTGGGGCTGAGACAGACAAACCAGGCACCGGGAAGGGAGCGGGCCCACAGACCGCCCGGGAGTCCTGGGACACTGGGCTGTCCCAGCCAGAAAAAGTGAGACTGAATCCACCTTACACCATATACCAAACCAACCCCAGGGGACTAGAGACCTAAACGTCAAAGGCCACATTTACAACTTTTAAAAGAACGTACAGGAAATTATGAATCTGGAGTAGGGAAAGATTTCTTACAACAAAAAAGGGCTAACTCTGAAAGACTAAAAACTTCAACTAACTAAAAATTTAAAGTTCTGTTCAAAAGATACCAAAAGAAAGGGGTTGTGGGGGGAGTTAAAATCTGGGAGAGGATGTTAGGGACACCAAAAGATTACTACCCAAAATATAAAAGAATTCCTAGAAGTCTGTAAGAAAAAAAAACAAAACGTAGGGATAACAAGCATTGGAGAGGATGTGGATCATCACGAACAGTTGTGTAACCACTGGTGGGAATGTAAACGGATACAACCGTCCTGGAAAATAACACACGCAAGAGAGTGTATGCCAGACAAACATGTGCAACTAGGAGACACGGACATGTGCAACCAGGAGACATGGACAAAAGCTTTAACAGCAGCGCAATTTGTAAGGAAAAAAACTGTAAATAATCCAAATACAGTGGAGAAAGGATAAACTATGATACAATCTTACAAGTTATTATATAGAAGTAAAAAAAAATTGTAATAAGAGAAGACAAATGGAAGAATCTTAGAGCCATGATGTTGAAAGATGGTCTCAGAAGACCATAAACAGTCTATATTATACAATTCTAAAACATGCACTACTGAATAATTTACCACACTATATTCTAGTACATTCATGTGACAGAACTACAAAAAATTTGAAGAAAAGGAAGTGAGATGATAAGAAAATCCAAAAGGGTGGTTACCTCTGAAGAAGAGGCAGGGTAACTGTGTGCAGGAAACACACTCTGGTAGTTTCAATGGCATCACACTGCTTTAGTTGTTAATTTGGGTGAAACTCAATTATACACTATGCTTTATACCTTACACATTTTTTGTTTTATCAAATATTACATTTTAAAATAGAATTGGCATAACTAAAAATAGTGCTAATAAATATTTCTGACGAAACAATTAAAATTTAATTCTTAAGTTTCTGGTTACAGTTCCATAAATAAGCATAGAAAAAATATCTTGCTCACAGGTTTCCTTAATGCCGACCTACCCAGGCAGTGGACGTGGTCCCGCACGGTGCAGTTGGCTGTGTAGCGCTGCCGCGGGCAGGACACCGCCATGCAGCTGGTGGAGCTGGAGCACTCGTAGTCAGTTTCCGGAAGCTGCCAGCAGAACCTGCAAGTCATGTTGAGGACAAAGCTCTTTCGGGATTTGAAGTCTTGATCCTACGTACCAAAGGACACAGAACTATTCAATCATAATACAGTAGTTTGTTAATAGGTCAATAAAACTACAGTCATATGGCACCAGGTGTCTAAAATACTTTATGACCTAGGAGGAAGTGGCAGAAAAACAGGTATCAAACCAATATGTACACAATACAAATGTATATGCTATGATCCTATGATCATAAATATACAACCAAAAATATATACCTAACAAAAAATATCTAGATAAATGCACATCAAAGTAACAAAGGTTATTTCAGAATGATAAGATTGTTTCATCACTGTTACTTTGGCTAAATTTTTAATAATGCACACGTGTACTTTTATAACACAGAAAAAAGGAAAATGTACTTTATAAAGCCTCGGAGTCACAGAGTTCAAAGGGCAGATGAGTCCCTCTGCTCAAGGTCACGGAGCTGCAAGCCCGTGCAGAACGCAGGAGCCCTGTTCCTGGAGGAACAGCCTGGCCACCGGGTCTCAACTCTTCCCTAGGAGCCGTCCTGCGAGTGGCCCAGAGCCCCAGGGCTGTCACTGCTGTGACACACCCACGAGCACCCAGCAGGACCAACCCACAGGCAGCCCCAGAAAACCACTCCCAACTTAGAAAGAACTGCACAGAGAGGCTGATGAGCAAGTGTTCACTGTGGGCCCTGAACTTTGAGACCAGAGATGTTTTTCATTTCAATTTTAAATGTCCTTATTTTGTTTTCTGCCTATAAGAGCAGTCCATGTTCTTATATGTTGCACATTTGGAAATTACAGAAAAAACCTGTAACCTCTCCAGAGACAAGCAGTTTTAACCTTCTTTCATTTTTCCTTCCTATAGTACAGATTTACATACGTGGAATTACACTGAAAACATTTTGTATCCACTTGACATTATATTGTAATAAATATTTTTCAAAATCATATTTAAATGGTAACACAATCACCTCTGGAAGTATTATATTTATTAACTTTTTTGATTAATGCAAAACTCCTATTATGGACAGTATTTGAAACTGAGTAAGGCACTGCATGATTTAAGCAATATTGTTTTAAATGTCTGCATATTTCTAGTGATGCATCCATAACACATTTCTTATCAACTGTTTTTTAAAATTAGGTAATAAGTTTACGTGGTACAAACTCCCGGAGACAACAGGAGAGTGAGGAGAAGGCTGGTGCAGCCCAGCCCTCAGCAGCACTGCCCTCCCCAGCACCAAGCACCGCTCACGCACTCTGGCCTTCCAGGGAGTCTGTACTATGCATGGGCACGTTTACATCAGATACGTTTCTTTTTTTTTTTTTTAATTTAATGTCCCCACTGATATTTACTTTTCACTTAATTCTATAGATATCGATAAATATCCCTAGAGCTGCCTAGTTCTTCTCAATGGCTGCAATGTATTTATTTCACTACATAGTGGATCATAAATTAAACTGTTCTCTTTTGTACATTCGGCTTGTTTCCAATCTTGCCTGTGTGAACAAAGCAGCTAAGAATATCCTTAGGCATATTTATTTGCATACACGTGCAATATGTAATATCTGTAAGATAAATTCCTAAATATGGAATTGCTGGGTCAAAGCTTATGTGCATCTATAAGTTTCAGAGATAAGACAAAGTGCTCACAAGAGACTGACTAACCTACCCTCCTGCTAACAAGATACAGGAGTGTTTGTCCCTTATACCCTTAAGAACTCAGAGTGTTAAACTTTTTGATTGTTTTGCCAATCTGATAGTTTAAAAAATGCATTGGGCTTCCCTGGTGGCACAGTGGTTGGGGGTCCGCCTGCTGATGCAGGGGATGCAGGTTCATGCCCCGGTCCAGGAGGATCCCACATGCCGCGGAGCGGCTGGGCCCATGGGCCATGGCCGCTGGGCCTGCGCGTCCGGAGCCTGTCCTCCGCAGCGGGGGAAGCCGCAGCGGTGAGAGGCCCGTGTACCGCAAACAAAACAAAACAAAACAAAACAAAACGCATTGATTTGTACTTAATCATGAGAAAAATTAAACTTTTTTTCATGCATTGAAAGTCCAATTGTATTTCCTTTCCTATGAACCCTCTGTTCATGTCCTAAAACCACTTCTCTACAGGACTGTCATCTTTTTCTTATTGGCTTTTTGGAAGTCTTTATATATTATGGATATTAGTGCATTATTTGTCACGTGTGTTAGAAATACTTTTTCCTAGTTTGTCATTTATCGTTGGCCTTTATGCTTTTTTTTAGGTCATGCAGAAATCTCTAATTTTTAGTAGTCAAATCTATCAATTCCTTCTTTTATGGCTTCTAAATTTTATTTCATACTTAGAAAAATATTCCCTACTTTGAGATTATAACAAAACTATCTCATGCTTTCTCTGGTACTTTGTGGTTTCACTTTTTCACATTAAATCTTTGATCTGGAATTTACTTTGGATAAAACAGGATTCCACTTTTTTCCATATAGCTACACAGGCACCCCAGCATTTACTGAATCCATTTTCACACCACAAAAAAGTATAGATCCCAACAAAAGCTCATCTGTAGTAAAAAGATTTGTCACCTTTCCCTTTGTGAAACAGCTGTCATTAGTAAGGATACAGAACCTATCTGAAGGAATTAAACTTGCTTCAAATACACTAGCAGACTGAGCTCTTCTCCAAGGAACAGAAAGCAGCGTTTCTATCAAGCACATTTCCAGCTGAGGTAACTGGCTTGATAGTTCCCATCATAGCTGGAGCAGGAGTTAGCTGATATGAAAGGGGTTGCAGGATTTTTGCATTAATTTCTATTTATATACTTAACAGGGCCATTATAAAACAATTTCTTTGACTAGTGTAATCCAGGTAAGGTTCCCTTGCTCTGAGTCTCTATGCAACATGCATTAGAAGGACAAGAAGAGTTTCTTTCTTTCCATTAATATGAAGTTCAAAATAAGGTGCAGGAGGGAGAGAGCTGAGTGCAGCACAGCGAAAGGATGAGCATTTGCACGTGCACCTGCGTATGCAGATGGTCACAGCTTATTTCTTCCTGAAATGCTAACTTATTTAGCAAGACAGGATCCTACAGGTGGTCATTAAACAAACAAGGGAAGAATGCACGGTCTGCCCCAGATCACCTGGCCGCAGCAGTCCTGGGGCCCGTGGCTCCTGACAGCCAATTATTTGACTGCTCTTCATTTTTAAGAAGAAACAGACCACCAGACGCTCCTGAGGCCGCCTTCAAATGCCATACTTACGGGCTGGGCATCTGCTACTTTACAGGACTCGCGATGACTGGCTAGTCAGGAAGCAGGTGAGGTGAAAGCACCTGGGGAGGAGAAGGGAAGGAACCCATCCAGGGCACATCTCAGCCAAAGGGTGAGGATGCACCAGGGACCAGGACCCAGGAATTCAGAAACTTCCCTAAGCTTTGTAATTTCTCTACCTTTGTAATTTCTCCTATTCTCTGCTATTTTCTGCTAAATGAAACTACTTGTTTTTGGAACACCTAAAGAAGGAAGAAATTGAGAACTATGTTTCATTCAGGGACCAGCTGTGAGAGATGAATGTCAAAGACACTGAGGCAAACAAGGAGGCTAATTCTGGAAAAGCTCTCCTCAGCCGTCAGTTTTCTCATTTTTCACAAGGTACCTACTATCTGCCAGACCAATGAAGTACGCAATTTCAAAAGCCTTCAAACAGGTTTCGCCATTAGGTAAGTAGGGAGAAAATTCTATGTAAGATACAGCAACAGAGACTAACTGATAATCCAAGGGCAGTCATGAAGATTACCCAGCAACTAGTTCAATTTTCCAGCACACTTTAAAGGGTAACTCTGATATAAGAAAATGACAAATACTGACAGTTACAAACACTATGTCCAGACACTGAGAACACATAAAATCTCATTTCCCCTTTGGAGTGAAGCCTCCCTCATGCCCTCACCTGATACTAGACCTCAGGAGAAATAGAGAAAGAGCCTGGGAGTGGAAGGAACTTTCTAATCTAGCCCTCTGCAGACCAAGTTCCAAAGAACCGATGGGGAAAGGTATCTTGTTCAAGTAAGTTAGAATCGCTGGGTCAAAGGGAATCTGCAAAAGAGAATATGGTGGGCTTCCCTTGGTGGCGCAGTGGTTAAGAATCCGCCTGCCAATGCAGGGGACAGGGGTTCAAGCTCTGGTACGGGAAGATCCCACATGCCGTGGAGCAACTAAACCCGTGCGCCACAACTACTGAGCCTGCACTCTAGAGCCCAGGAGCCACAACTACTGAAGCCCATGCACCACAACTACCGAAGCCTGAGCACCTAGAGCCCGTGCTCCGCAACAAGAGAAGCCACAGCAAGGAGAAGCCTGCACACCGCAACGAAGAGTAGCCTCCGATCCCAACTAGAGAAAGTCTGTGCGCAGCAATGAAGACCCAACGCAGCCAAAGATAAATAAATTAGTAAATTAATTAAAAGAAAAATCTTACTTCCTACTGCTTCCCTTAAAAAAAAGAAAAAAGGCAGAGATAGAGAATATGGTATGGAATCTGTGTTTTCCTCCTCAACCATCTCCCAGAAAGAGGGCGCCATGGAAACACTTTAGGAAAGCTGTTCTGGGCCCATCTCCTGATTTAACAAGAGACAGATGACTAAATCACAGAGCTAGTCATGGCAGGTCCAAGAGTAAAACACTGCCTCATTATTCATTTCTACTCTCTATCTCACCCACATGCTGGGACTACAATGAAGTTTGCAGTAATTTCCCTGGTCCAACGGTTCAAAAATGCAGATACACGAGTCTCCCTGCCCTTGTCACATTCAACAGGTGTGGGGCTGCCGCCAGGAGTCTGTGGCTCTGAAGCAGGTATCCCGAGAGCATGCTAAGGAACACCGACTGTGGAAGCCTTTGTAGGCTCCTTCCTGGCTGTCAACATATCAGAGATGGGCTGCAGGAGTGACCACTGTAACAGGGTCATTTCTAATGGGCAACAGTTGGTGCGTTTGAGCTTTTACTTCCTACTTTTTGTAAGAAGTCTGACAATTGCTTCAATTTATCCTTATGTCAAAAAATTGCTATCTGAACCCTTGCAACCAAACCTTACTTGGAGATGGAAGTTTCCATCTTCTGATAAAGTTGACTTTATTCCTCAAATCTTACTTTAAAAATGCAGAGCACTTTCTGAATTTCCTCCATAATCAAGTCTAAACTCTACTTATAACTCGAGCTTTACGATCAGTTTATTAAGAATAAGTAAGCTGCAGTACTTACAACACAGGTAACAGAAGGTTTGACTGTGCAGTCAAAAGTGACAGGCTTCCCATAGACACAGGAGAAATTGGTCTTGCACTCTATACAGTCTGCGGGAAGTCTGCTACACAAACCATTGCTCGGACACTTCATCATATAAGGTGGGATATCGGTGCTTTCTGTGAGAGGTGAGAGAGAAGCTTATTCTCTTGGAATACTGATTACAAAAACAGAGGAAAGCAATTTTCTAAGCTTAAGGAACACAATCATGAACATAACATATATACAGTGCTAGGAATAAATTAGGACCTCAAAAAGTCTATCATGTTACAAGATGAAAAAAACGAAGGCTTACAGATGATAAAGTTCGTTCAATATCACAGAGGGAGGGCAAAACTGGAACCAGAGCCCAAACCTCTCAGTTTCCAATCCAATGTTCTTTTCACTTGAATTCACGAATTTGTAAGTGAAGCCCCTAACCCTCTAAGTGAATCAATCGGTACAACAAGGTACCAACCCTAGAAAAACGTCCTGTCATTATTCCACTTTGGTACTTCAACAAGCCACCATCTGCAAGTAACATTTACAATTTTACAGTACCAAAGTTCAAAATAGTTCTTTATATTAGTAACTTATTCAGTGGGTTGCAGTAAGTTTCTCCAGCCAGCCTAGCTGGGAGTATAATATATTACTATCACTTAAGAGAGGATCAAAATTGCAACCAGTATTCTCAGGAAGAGAAGCTTTCAAAAACGTCCAAGAGAGTAAAAAATTCTTGTGCTTTCTCTATAAAATAATCTATGTTTTAAACTCAAGTATGCTGCTGTCTTCTAGTAGTCTTTTATAGAATCAGTAAAATACGTCTGCCAGTTTCAATTTACTGAAGTAATGGAACTCTAAAGGGATGAAACTACAGAGACCAAAGTTCCATTTAGCAAAACACACTAATACTCATTTAAAACTGGTCCTAAAGTCACTATTAAGTGGGCAATTCTACAAAATACCTACAAAATACCTACAAAAAAAATACCTACTTACAAAAGAGTATAATTCCTATTATACCCTTTTGTAATAGGAACAAAAGAAAAGAAATTTTGTTCCTATTACTACCGTGGCTGGAGGATGGGCACTTAGAATCACAAAGCCAAGAGTTTACAGGGCCAGGAAAACCCCACGACCTTAAAAAGATGAGAAAACGGAAACCCAAAAAGGTGAATATTTTGCTCCAGCTCCCAGCAGCACCACCAGAGATAGATGCCAGGTCTGTACCAGTCCTTCTGCAATCCCTCCATTTCACACAGCCCTGGGGGAGCCTTTAATAATATCCAACATCAGGAACAGGGTTCCAAAAGCACAAGAAATTTTCTGAAGGGAAAGAAGCGTTGGTTGAAGGTTATCTTGATGGATGAAGCGGAAAAAAGAAAAAACTTGAAATAAAGAGATGGAAATGGGGAGCCTGGGACTGGAAAAAGATGAGACAGGAATGTCAAAAGGTATTGAAATACCAAGACTGTCTACAGAAAAGGTATGCATCTGCCTTTAGTTCACATATCTAAAATGCAATCAATAAAATGTTCAAAACATGGAAAGTGATGTCATATTCTACAAGAAATTTTATCCAAAAAGAAAAGAAAGAGACCACTAGATACAAATATACACGTTTACTAGAAGAGAAAACGTCTAGTACCTGCTGCCCTGGGCACTACTGTGAACGTACGTGTGGGGCCCGGATCCTTGTCGGACTGAGCCAGCGGCTGCGAAGGCTCTACACTGAAGGATCCTATGATTAGAAAAACGAAGACCTCAGGCTGTGTGTGTATCGCGCCAGGCCCACGGCTGCTCGGGCAAACATCTCGGCCTGACCGCCGGGAAACTGAACATGAAACCCAATGGGGTCGACACCAATTTAGGTCTGCGGGCAACTGGAGACGACGCGCGGTGCCGAGACCCAGCTCCGCGTCCCAGGCCGAGCCCCCAGGCCCACAGTTCGAGGCTCGCGGCTCCGGCTCCCTGAGCCGAGGGGCGGCGGCAGGACGAGCCGGACTCGACTGTAGCAACCCGCGCCCTCCGCCCGCACTCAGCCTCCGCCCAAGGGCCCAGGCCGACGGTCCCCGCGGTCCTGGGTTCCCCACCCCTCAGCCCGGCCCGGCGCAGACCCCTGCCCCCAACTCACCGCCGCCCGAGAGGATGTAGAACTGCGAGAGGAATAGCAGCACTCGACACAAGCGGTGTAAGTCCCACAGCACCCCTGCACCCGCCATCTTGCCAGCGGAAACACTTCCGGGCCGCGGGGGACGCCGGGCCGAGAGGAGTAGGAGGGGCCGGGGGTACACGGCGCAGGCGCGACCCCTCCTCCCGAGTTCCCCGCGCCCCGCCTCCTAGAGCTGCCAGCGCTTGTGACGAGGCGTTCACCTCTCCCCCGGCGGATGGAGACACGGAAAGGTCACCTGGGGAAAGGTCACCTGGACCCCGAAAGTCACATCTGAGGGATCGAGAGCAGAGGCGGGGAAATCTGGGAAGTTGGCCGCTGTATACCTGTGGCCGGATCTGTACGTTTAGAGACAAAAACTGCTGCTGTGCGCTTGGTACCGTGCGGAGGTTTGACGACGTTACGTTTTTGTCAGACTAAAAAGCCTCTTGTTTACAGATGAGGAAACTGGCCCAGACTGCTCGGTAAGGACCCCAGGTGTGCCAGGTGGCCACCAAGGACCCACTCCCCGCGACCCCAGGGCCCGGGCAGCGTCCCGCGAGCAACTCTCCAGGCCCGCCCTGCCCGGATGTCTAACCAGTCCTCAGAGACGCTCCTCGAAGGCGGGGAGAAGCCGGACTGAAGTGCGGCCGCGGGTGTCAGGCCCCCAGACCCCCCTGGAGGAGGCCCGCCCCGGGAGGGAGCTGCTCCCAGGCCGCGGCTCCCTGCGGCCGTCACAGCGATCCGCACCTGTTCCCACCGCACCTGTTCCCACCGCAGCAACATTCGTGCTGGGCTGAGCACGGGCTTCCCTCTCCCCGCCCACCCAACACAAGGTTGTCTGGGGTGGGGATGGGGAGTCTTCTGACAACCCCCGGCCTCACTAGCACGTTTGGTGAATTCAAGCAATGTATCGAATAGTGCTTGGCCTCAATTAAAGTTAGCTTAAACAGGTACATCACACAATCTGCACCGTCCATCACACAGGCCTGACCCTTGAACAACTTTGGGGTGAGGGGCGCAGTGTAACTTAGAGCGGGCCCTCCTCATTCGGTTCTTCCCTATTGGTGACTCCACCTCCTTAGATTCCACCAACTGCGGGCAGGACTGTGTATACTCTAGTATTTGCTATTGAAAAAAACCCACGGGTAAGTGGACCCGTGCAGTTCAATCCTGTTCTTCGCGGTCAGCCCTGCTGGTTTGTCTTCCAACTCTTCAGGAAGCTAAATGATAAGCGTGTACAGAAGAGAGAGCAGGTCTTAAATTTATTTTGAATTCCACAGCACATAACCAAATAAACACAAAAAATACTGCTTGATTGGTAGCTAAATTCACTACTGACATAAAGCCATTTTAATTGTTTTGAGCAGTAAGGTATTCCTCTCAGTTAAAATCAGAAATCCACTTGAGTCTGTAAATCAGTGGAATGTCATCCCATCAGAAGAGTAATTTAACTCTAGGGGAGCAAATTATTATGGTATAAACCTATAGATGAAACCCTGGAAGCACTACATAACACATTTTATTTGAGAGTTTATTTTTTCTAAAGATAAATAAGGTTCAATTGTCATTTAGAAGCATTAAAATGGCAACTCTTATCCTATAGTGGAAACTACAGAAGATTGCACAACACTGAATTTCTTTGAGTTCAGAATCCTTTGTTAGTAATCCAATATTTAGTACTAGCTTCTTCTTTTGTGATTGTTGGTTAGTTAAAACAAATTGATTCCGATTTTGAAAATAAAGTTTCAGGACCTCCCTAGTGGTCCAGAGGTTAAGACTCCACTTTTCCACTTCAGGGGGCATGGGTTCGATCCCTGGTAAGGAAAGTTCCACATGCTGTGGGGTGTAGCCAAAAATAAGAAAAATAAAGTTTCAGTGTGAACTTTAGTAAAACTTCAGTTAAAAAATACCTGAGGCATAATGTTATTAGAAAATAAGATATCACCCCATATTCAAAAAGCTTTGCAGACTTTTATTTGAAACTTATCTTTTGAAAATCAGAATTCTTAACAGTAACATCTCATAATGCTCATTTCCTAGTATTTCCCTCTTTGATGAATGACATTTTCCCATTGAAGTCTCTCAAGATATTTGGGAAATTTAAAATTTCCCACACTTGTCCTCTCATTGTCCGCAGACACATTAGTGAATCAGATTTTGTGCATATCAGCCACTCACTCCCCGTCTCACTTCTCACTGTGCCCATCAGTGGACCAGATAGTGGGTCCTAAGTTCTCAGAAGAAGTATGAATGGTAATTAAGGAAAATGCATGTTCAGGGTTCAGAACAAGGTTACACAGATGTGAGCACAAGGAAAGGACTTCAGAATTCTTCCTCAGCATTCAGGGTACGTGATTTCCTGAGATTCTTCAATTTATCAATGGCAGAAGTTACTGAAATCTCTCCATGAATTTTGTTGTCTCTTGTTCGAACATTTACGGCATTATTTGTCTTTTCCTTTTCTCCAACCACTGTAGAAAACAAAGGGAAATATATTTTCGATCAACAATTTACTAAATATTAAGTCAGCAGTCATGTGGCATGTGTCTTATTAAGTTTTCTTCTTAGTACTAATCACCAAATATCAATCTAATGTCCATTTGGTCATCCTCTTAAGAGTAAATTTCTTGAGACAAGGAATGACTTCTAATCCCATCTCTCTATTGTCCATTTTCGAGAACACCTGTGGTGGTCGTGGGGTACAGGTGGGAGGAGGGAGCTCCTAAAGACCCCCTGACTCCACCTGGCACACTTGATGAATCAAGAGGCGGGCACCAGACACGTGCCCAACCAGCCAACAGAATTTTCTGGAATATATGTAAAAGGTTTGTTCTTGCTAATGACCCATACTGTGAGATGATGCAGAATTCTGCCGCCATGTTTCTTGCTGTCTGGAAGGAAGATACTGGCCAGCAAGTAAGGGGAATAAAGTAGATCAAGAGAAGCATGAAGAAGCAGATCAAAACAGGGAACAGAAATGGGGAGAAATGGTCCTGGTAAGGGTTGAGTTCCCCTTCCAGTTACTTTTCTAATGATTTGGCTACTTAATTCTACCTTCCATGGCACGAGATACTCTAACTCCCTTCCAATACATTCCATTGTGTCTAAGCTAATTTGAAATTTCTGTCACCACAAGAAGGCTGACTGAAGCATCACAGTACCTACTACAAACACTTTTGATGACAAATTGCTCATAGGACAGCCCTGTGCATATTTATTTTGCCTTCTACAGAAACTTTCAACATATAGGACATAACCATATCATGCCTGCAGGCATATAAATAAGTTTCGCTTGATTTTGAATCATTTTTACAGTCAAAATTTTAGATTCTGCATCTAATTACTCATGTTCCTCAAGGACGTTTTATTTTTTCACTTAATTCTTTTCTTTTGATCATCTTAAACTTGGAACATCTCCTAGTCATTAGTTTAATCCTAAAGATTTCTAATAAACCAGAAAAGCAAAGGAGATTATTTCAGGCCTATCACATGACTGAAACATACGGAGTATAATTCTACTGATAAGATCATTTTCCACTGTCGGTTTGAGTTATTAATTCTTCCTAGTAATACTACACCACAGGAGCCATGTGAAACTTCATAACTCTTCTTTTCTGGCAAATAACAAAAAGTGTCTAGCCAGGAACATCACAGACTCTTCTTTGTGTATAAGTATTCAACAGCTATTTGTCATAATCAAGCAGTTATACCATATTCTTTATTTTGTTTTTTGGGGCTTTTTGGAATTAAGGTGAAAAAACAAGCATTTGGGAAAAATATATACAAATTTAGATTACCCAAAATAAAATTATACTGATCCAGCTGTGCATTTCGTATTTTCTTATTTAGTGTACAACTATGATCTAAGTCAACATCAGCCATGAATCCTTCTTCAAAAAATTCAGTGCATACCTATAAGAGAATGAGACACTTTCATTAATACATTGTGTATGGTAATGCGGTGGCCAGCCTCCAAGATGACCCCCAGGGTCCCACACCCCGGTATTCACACCCTTGTGTGTCCCCTCCACCTTGTACCAGGTTGGTCTCCGTGACCACAGTGGAGGGAGAGTGATGGCACCCCACTTCTGAGATGAGGTTAAATTGCTGAGTCACTCCCCCTGCCTCGACCTCTGAGAAGCCTCACCAGGCACCCGAGCCAGAGTCCCCGGCCAAGTTGTTCCAGATTCTGACTCACAGAAACTGAGATAATAAATGCTTATTGTTCTAAGCTGCCAAGTTTTGGGGTAATTTGTTACACAGCAACAGATAATATAAGTATTCTTCCTAATAGAGCCACGAGGAAAAGAATAACTATGAGATGTTTTAAAACACCAATTTCTCAAAAACATTAAGAAATAAAATAGTTCTGATACAGCTACATAGACACGACTCAGGTGTTACTGAAAACATTTACTGAAAACATGGGGTGGTAAATTAATGTATTAGTTATGCAATATTTTAAGGTGCGAATAACATTCCAAGTCAATGACGTTCACAGACCACATGCCAAGATTATGTACTTTAAATGTCTCTAATTTTACCTGAAGTGCATATTTTTCACAAGTTGGCTCCACAGGGATGACCATTACCTGACGAGGAGACAGCCAGAAAGGCCTGAAAAATATAATATGTATTTTTAAAATGACCATTTATTACAAGATTTAAAAACAACCAAAGACTCTTTTTTCTTTTTAAGTAAGACTTCACAGGAGAGCAGGTTCAGTAGAGGGGTGTGGAAATAAAGCAAACTATATTAAAAGGCAATAGAGGAGACAAAAGGGGAAACTGGGCCTTTTGGTTGGAAAAGGAGGGAAAACAGGTTGGCAGCTAGATGAAAGGGCTAAACATCACTGACCATACAACCCAGCAACCACTCTCCTGGGTATTTATCCCAGAGAAATGGAAACATGTTCACACAAAAACCTGCACACTAACATTTATAGCAGCTTTACGTATAATAGCCCCAAACTGGAAATATCCGAAATGCCCTTCAGCGAGTGAATGCTCAAACTGTGCATCACACTACAGAACACCATCAGTAGTGAAAGGGAGCCAACGACTGGTACCTGAGATGCCTCGGATGCATCT